AAGCAAATTAGATTGAATTTTAAACTTTTAAAAATTTATTCAAAATGGAATTGGAACTTTTTTAGACACTTTTGACTCACTGTTCTCTCGTTGATGCTGCTCACTGCTACCACTGCCTCGTTGGTGGTGCACCACGTGGATCGCTGACCTCGTTCCCGCGCTCGGCCGACCGCCTAACACGCCTCCTCGATGAAACCGCTAGCTTCTTCGCACTTTCCGATGGTACGGTGCGTTGATGGAGTTTTTGGAGAGGACCGTATGGTGACGGACGGTCCGTTCGACAGCCTGGGAAGCGGTCTAGCGTGGATAGCACTCCGGAACTATTTGGCTTCTGACCGGTAGCTACAAACTATCACTGCACGCTCTTCAACACGTGTCGTTTAGAAAAAAATGTCCAAAAGATTCACAGGACCACTTTCTAAGTTTGCGGAACACGGTTGGAATTGGGCACAACGTTACTCGAATGCGAGAACACTCCTTGACGTTTAGCGACCGATCAAAGGTAACGCGGCAAAAGAACTTCTGTTATTATTTTTTTTTAGAAAATTTTGTCGAACACTCCGTATAACTTCACTTCCCAGGATTAAGAGACTTTTGTGGGGGTGAAGTGAGCTTATATAGCTTTGCCAAGATAAGTTAGGTAGCATTCCAACTCATCGTACGATCATCACGCCATCCTCGATCGCCTGAGTCTGCGCGCCTTCGGCTCACTTCGTGCGTTCGAGCAGTTGGGTTCGAGTATCGGCAGCCCGGTCGAATTCGAACATGCGAGTCGCCCTAACACTACCTAGATTTTAGATGGCCCTAGCTGCTTCTACAATGCTCAAAAGAGATACAATCCGTCTCATTTGGCAGCACATCCCATATTTTTGCACCATGCTAGTCTTCTGAAATTGTTTTTTTTTCCAGGACAGCGTGACAACGAATTATATCCTCTTTCAGCATGATAATTTCAAAATTTAATTTAATTTCATTTATTGCATTTAATCGTCTTTTTCTTTATATAATTTAAACTTTCTTTGCATGATTATTTACATTTACTGACAATATTCCTGTAGATATTAGTTCAAATTTCTCACCAAGCCATCATTTCTAGGTGGAAACTTCTTCGAAGGTTACAAGTGCGGGCGGTGGGCGCCGATGGCAACGGTGCAGGTGAGACTTTGGGGTGAAGTGGAGATGAACGTGATGGCGGCCACTACATGGGCCGAGCTAATGGCCACGACCAGGGTGATCTCTTGGTGCCGGCGAAGCTAGTAGGACTTCGCGGGGTACTCGGTGACGCAGTGACCAGTGGTATTTCTCGTCCGTAGCTCGGTAGCAACCCACACAAAGGCGGTGGCTCCGATCAAGGCGTGCTATTGTGGTGGCTGGCCGGTGGGGACGCCACTGGACAGGGCTTGGCACTAGTAATAGCCAAGACAATGGCGGCGGTGATGGAGGTTGACTGTTCGCCTGAGGCCAGATGCGGGCCGGATCCCCGGCAGCGTAGGTGCTCGTTAGCGTTACCGACGCGATGAATGTTGCTTGGCGGAGCAGGCACGGAAGGTCATCCAACACAGCTTTTTCTAAGACCGTTCGTGGTAAGGCGAAGCCACGACGTCGAGGTGGCAGAAATTGGTCACTTAGACTCTTCGTCCGTGAACTACACGAACAAGGTTCACTCCGTGATCTCCTTTCTGTAGCTCGATCCCGACTGCCTTCGCACCGTTGTCGTTCTCTGCTCCCGATCATGCGCTCACTGGCTCTCCCCCGAGAGAGTTTCTGCCCCAACTTCATTCAGGTTCAGTGGATTCCATCCACCCACCATTAGCACTCACACATTAGCTGTTCGGTCACTCTTCTGATCTCAGCCGCCCGCGCATTCAAACTTGCCGTTACAAATCGGAATAAATCAATTCCCTAATATAAACATTCTATCTCTTCCGTGTTATTTAATTTTTAAGTCAGCAATGTTACCCGCTGGTAACAGATTGCTACATTGAAAAAGTTTAATTTACCAGTCTATATTATGAAATTAGTTCAAAATTATTTAACTGGTAGAACTCTGCGGGGAAATTATCAAATTTCCTAATCTTAACGACTAACTGTTAGAGCAGGAGTTCCTCAGGGTAGCATTATTGAGCCTATATTGTATAACATTTTCACTTCGGACCTCCCTGATTTGCCACAAATCTTAGGTCGCTGATGACACAGGTATTTCCGCTAAAGGAAGAAGTATTCGTGTTATTTGCAGTAGACTGCAGAAAAGCTTAGATATTTTCTCTTCTTATTTACAAAAATGGAAGATTTCTCCCAACGCTTCCAAAACTCAACTTATAATATTTCCACATAAGCCTAGAGCTTCCTTTTTGAAACCTAATATTAGTCACATAGTCACTATGAACGGAGTTCCAATTTCGTGGTCAAACCAAGTGAAATATCTTGGATTAATACTTGACCAAAAATTAACTTTTGAAGATCACATTGAGGGCATTCAAGCCAAATGTAACAAATATATAAAATGTTTGAATCCTCTTATAAACAGGAAGTCCAAACTGACGAATAAACTTCTAATATTTAAACAAGTTCTCAGATCGACCTTGCTTTAAGCTGTGCCTATATGGTCTAGTTGTAGTACTACCAGGGAAAAAGCACTTCAAAGGATTCAGAACAAAGTTCTGAAGATAATTTTGATGTTGCCTCCCTGGTACAGTACTACCGAGGTACATAGAATTTCGAATTTTGAGACTTTAGAACAAATGTCCAACAAAATAATTAATAATTTCAGGCAAAAATCGTTGCAATCCTCAATTGTAACGATTAATTCCCTTTAAACTTAGATAAGATTTAGTTTTAGTTTTTAGTTTTAAGATTTCAATTGTTGTACTGACATGCAGGTTTTAAAAAACTGTTTAAAATACTGAATTGCCAAGGCAGGAACAATTTAAAATCACTTAGATATATATATATCATAACAATTAAGGCTGGTAAGTTACTGTAGTAGCTGGAGCACCTAGGTTAAAATTAAATGTAATTTATTTTGAATTTGGAACAAATAAAGAGTTAAATAAACAGCATGGTTGTAGTTTGCCTCGATTAGTTGCATATCCAGATTAAACCAGTAAATAATGCTTAAGAGAATTTAGACAATTCACTGTTGCTTTTAATTTTAGCGAGAAAACACCTTGATTTCCTTAACTGGTGCATTTTACCCCAGAAACCAATGCCTATAAGAAACACTGTGTTATGCAATCATCACTCGAAGTATAGCGGATGTTTTCACTCAGTGTAGAGGACGACGAGGAAAGACTGACACTATTTGGATTATTAAAACAATCTACTCTTGAAAAAAAATGTGTTATTTGTTTTAAACCTTGGCTCACTCAACAAACTCTTTTCTTTATTACAGCGCTCCTAGTGGACGTTTTCGGAAGCTTTTGACGTCCATTTGTTGACAACAACAATAACAAAAGCAGTATTATTTTTTTTTAGATCAGATATACTCTTATGAAAAATGCAAACTTGTGGAATAATAAAAAACTACGGGCCAGTGCTGAGATTTATCAGATCAGAGATTGACAAAATTGTTTTTCACATAGACATTGATAGACTTGATCCTTAAAAAAACCTTTGTCAAATTCTCATTAATTTTTTCGTCAATGGCATAGCTTCAAAAAGTGTAATTTCGTGCATTCTGAGTCACTTTATTGTTATTCAAGCAGTTCAGGACGTAGATGCTTGTTCATTTTAACGGCTCCATGTAATTGTTTTGCTCAAGTCATTTAATTTTGTTTGAAATTTAGCTAATACAAAAATCTGCAGATGTTCGTCACTAACACAAAGTGTAGAACAAAAACTTTTGGTCAAATTTTGTAACTTTTTGTTAGTACGTTTTTTTGTGTATTTTTTTTTTTCACAGAAAATGTTTTAATTGTCTCAAACATTGTTGTTTGAAAATAAATTTCATGAAACACATTTTAAAATTTCAAAAAATATCACAAAAGCTTTTGTTGTACGATTTTTGTTAATTTTTAACTGCCCATAATTTTAAACATTGCAAAAGATTGCATTTTTCAGGAGTTTTTTTTTTAATAAAAATGTCAAAAATCGAAAAAAAGCATGCACTTTTATTTGCACCATCTTACTGCTGCAATAGTTAGGTAAATAATAGTTGCATTATAACACATGCTTTCGGTAACGTGGAGGTTAAGGTAGTGATAACCGTTGTTAGAACTATTCCACAGTCTCAGACAGTATATGAGCAAGTCAAAAGCACACTCTTTTACCTGTGGATTTGAGGAAATGCCTCAAAACCCCTCACCCATCAAAGTGTGAGTTACGTAAATGAGTGCACATTTGATTAGTATTGTCGCATTAATAGCCCTTTCCTCAATTCAACCTCTGTTCAGTTTTCACACTGCCGTACTCTACCGGAACTATCAGTCTATACTCTTCAGAACTTTCTCTAGCTAATAAATTATCGCACTAAAATCCTTCCAACTCTGAAAATCGTAAACTTCACGTATGAAGTAACAAAACACTTTGATTGAATTATTTTCTCTATCAATTTATCTCAGACGTTATTTTGATCAGAAATGCCGTTTCTGTGAAAAATTTCAAAGACGTAATTTTTAGAACTTTCACAAAATTCAAAACATCTGAATTTTTGCAAAAATGTTATTGATTGCCCATAACAATTATGAAATTATGAAAAGTTTCAAGCAAATTGGATAAGGTTGAGTTTTTTGGATTCGCCGTTTGGCATATTGATGGGTTGAAAAAACAACCCTACAAATTCTTATAGATTTGATACTATGCATAATGTTCCCTTGTACCAAATCAAGTAATTTTGCTTTCCCCTTATCTGCATTCGACAATGATTGATGTATTATATTTCAATCCCTCAACATAACACGTTGTTTCCAAATGCAAGCTCAAATTAATCACAAAGAAAAAACTCTCGAACTCAGATATGATCTATATGAAGCCTTGTTTATCACTACATGCTAAAAACTTACCGTTTCCTTTGAACAGCACTTCAAGAAATAATCTTCACAGACATCCGAGAATCGCAAATCAATTACGCCATTTCCATCGATGTTAATTATGCTATCATGACAGAGATATCCATATACGCACACACCTTCCTTACCATTAGCTAGATCACACGGCTATTAAATTAATCAGAATAAAAACAAAAATGTTCTATTAATAACACCAAGAAAACACAATAATATGCTCCCAAATAATACTCACCTGATTGGGAAAATCTTGCGGAAACATAGAGGTTTTATTTGAAAATGCCCCATTTGGAAGAAGCAAATTGATAATTCCAAATAAGAGAACAGTTTTTCGAGACGAAACTCTCATTGCAGCCTCCATCGCGTTCGTACTATCCAAGAATGAAAGTAAATCTGGCTATAAATGGCTCATCACTACAAAAGTTTAACTCTGAGGATTCCCCGTTTAGCGATAGGAAAGCGGCATGTATCAGTATAGCTTACTCTTGCGATTTACACTTTCCAAAAAGTATTGGTATCATGAAGGAAAAGGTCTTGCAAAATTTCGATCCTTTATATTTATTTTTATTTTAATGGGTAAATAATAAATACAAGATCCTGAGAGCATAGGTTTTGAAAATCACAGGAAATTTTATGACATAGAAAGCTCTCAATTGAAAACTGTGTAAGTGCATCAAAAGGGGTGATAGGGATAATGGCACTAATGTTGGCCAATGGATCTTAATATTGAGCCAATCGATAAAAATCTCCTGTTTGTTTTCGTAGAACAATACGTAATCTGGACAATACTAATGTATAATTTTTGGATGCTTATGAAACTGTGTCAAAACATGCTTATGTAACTATGGGACCAATATTAGGGACACTATGGCCATCATTAGGGACATTAACCCTACCTATTCATAATTTAAAATAAAATCATTTTCCTGTTAATGCATTTTCCAATATTTTAAGGAGCATTTTATCATTTTAATGTTGCGAAAACAATTTTTTCGTCTTTCATGTCGGTTTCTTGGTCCATTAGGCCAATATATTTTGGGACTGGCCTTACCAATGGGGCTCAAATTTATACACAAGCTTTAAAACTTTATGGTTTAGTCATCTTTTTAATTGGTACTTTCCAAAGATTTATTGGCGCATTTTATATTTTGAGGGAACATTTCATCTTTTAGAACGCTTGCCCGTCGCTCTGCTCCTATATAAAAAAATAACAAAGGTAGGACAGTAAATCTATGCATATAAAAAGATTACACGGGCAGGACAGTAAATCTACTCTTCAAAAAATGACATGCTCCCAAAAAACTATGAAATGCACACAAAAATAGGAAATGTGCAAATATAAAGATGAAATGTTCCATGCATATTTCTCCACCACTATTGATATGAGATAAAGTATTCGGCTTTGCTACTATTGTTATTCTTGCCATTATCACAACGAACCGATTACAATTTTAAAGTCCAGCTATATGTACCATTTAAGGAGTAAGACCTTTGTTAATCAAAATCTGATTCCTTGTCGACAAAATCAATTCTTGATACAGCTGGAATAAGGGTGAAACAGCTTTTGTAAACAATGTCATCTCTCCATGATTTCTCGAAACTCAAGCCACACCCACGTAAACCAACATAACCAACGGGAAGGGGAAGTCTTCCCCTACCAGATGGTGACGTTGATTTGAGTGAGCGAGCCTTGGCTTTCTAGGGATCATCGAGAGAAGTCATTGTTTACAAAAGCTGTTTCGCCAGCTCGAACACCAAATTGACCATGCAGCAGAATCCCAACCTTTAACTACTACAAACTACAAGATCATTCTAGGTGGAATGCAACACAATTCTTGTCACTACACAGATATAAATTGAGAGCTTTATATACGCTGACCCCAGCATTATGGATCAGTTAGTTTTGCGTTTTAATCAATCGGTCCATAACCAGTGCCTTAATTAATTTGTTGTGTGCTAAGCACAAATATACTGTAACCCAGTAGAAAACTCGAGACAATATCCAACCCGGAAGATTTTCTAGACTCCGGTCTATCGAAGCCGCCACCTCCAGCTCATTAATTCCGACTGACTTTGAGTTACTTGGCCAGCGGATCTCAAACATTTTCAAGTAGCGTACCCTTTGAGCAGTTCTACGCAAATTCTATGAATCGATCATGGTCAATCAATCACATTTGAGCTAAAATTTTGAATCTCTAAAAAAACTTCCAAATGCACACCAAAAATCAATCTAGAGTTGTGTGTGTATTCCCTCTAACCCCCACTGGTAGGCAGTGTTATTATGGAAGAACTCTCTCTACAATATCCCATTTATCTTCATAGTAGACAGCTTTAGTCCGGGAAGGTGATAGCTCTATTGCAGATCCAGCAACTCATTTAAGAATGTCTGGAGAGCCACGCCCATGCCGAGGTTACTTTCACTTACAATAATTGGATCAATTGGATATTAGTATTACATACAATGTTCTTTTGAATCCTGGCACGTATTAAGATTTTTTTGTATAAAGTATTTGGACAGGCCTCACCTTGTTAATTTAATCCTCCAATCCATGGGTTCCGTAGTTCTTTTCTCTTCGCTTTGCATCTCATTTCGTGATTCGCAAAATTAGTTGACTCCTGCGTGGAGCTTCACAAAAAAGGAAAGAGGTTTTTACGATAAACCAAGACCTCCGTGTTCAAGATGCTCTCCATCCGGATTTGCTCATCTTCCTGGCACATTTCTTGCACTTTTTTTTCGAATTTCCCTGCGCCAATCCATTTTGTTCAGGTCGGTCAAGTGGACCGCCATGTCATCTTCATCCAAGACAGAATTTGAATTATCACTATCCACTAGATCCGTCCAAGTCCGCATTCTCTGGAACAGCTTCGACCTTCCGGCGTTTACAGTGAAGCGCTCCCGAATGACACACGAAAGTCTACGGGTAGCTAAACGATTCACGCTAAGACTACATGCCGTTAACCGATCCGGCAGGGTCCTAGAAAAGGGCTTTTCACATTTGTTGCTTTAAATCTCTTCGAGGTGCTGCTTTCATCAGAAATCCACATCCTTTCTCACAACACATCCTCATGCATTCCGTAAACGACAATCAACAACTTTTTCTCAAAGCGAAACGTCCCAGCGAATGTAAAAATCAACACGACCATAAGTTAGTTTAGCTAGATTCGAAAGAAAGATTTAATTTTCACTTAAACGTCACAGCAGCTGAAACAGTGCGCCCCACCAAAAATCAATCTAGAATTCCATCAAGATGGATTGCGGAACTGCTTCCAGCAAAAGCACTGCATACTGAAAAACCATCAATTCACAAAATGCAGAATGTTTCAGTAAATGTTATGAGTTCTCAAAATCAGGCGATTCGTATTGATCACTCCTCCGCTGTTTATGATTATTTAGGAACTCAAAAGTGTTATGCTTACAACGAATCGTAGAAATAAAATAAATCTTGCTGTTATAATGAAGTAAGCATCCTAAGCTAATCCTGAAGTGAGCATTTGCAAGAAAAAATCACGGATCTCCAGGACTATTTTCAGGAATTGACCATTTTTCCAGTGACTCCGGATATCCAGAGAACAATTTTCTGGCCACCTGGTACAGCTACCGATATGGTGATTGCAAATTTCCGCTATGCTCATGATTGTATGTGATTGTGTGATGTAATTTAGAAACAAATCTCGGATCTCTAAGTTTACTTTCAGGAATTGAAATAATTTCCCGGTAAATCTGAGCCACCTCACGGATTTTTCCATTTCAACTGGCCAACCTCGCTTTTCTGTCTATTCTGTTCGAAAGTATATAGTCATAACTTTCAAATAGTGGCTCAATCTGTCAACATGAATCTACACACTTAGAAATAACTACTTTTACACGAGACGTAATCCATATTGGACGTAAATCATAGAACGTAAACAAACATTTCATGTAAAATTAAGTGTTCTCAAACCGAAACATCAGCTAGTCGACGAAGAGAACGTTTGATTGAATTGATTTTCACGTCTCTTTCAACTGATTCTTATGTCAGAAGGCCCGCTTACTTGTTTCGGTCTCGGGGAACCGAAATTTATATGACTTTTTAGTAGTGTGTACCTGTTCCAAATGAAATAAGATATCCACACCTACCACCTGGTGGCTGAATCATATTGATTAAGCATCGCATTGTTGAGAACCAGCCATGTCAACCAACGCTGTTTACAACCTTGGAACTTTGAGCAAGGTTTGATCACAAACGAAGTGACAGACGACTAACTGGCGAAGAAATCCATTAAAATAATGTGGTTCGCTGTAATAGAATTTTCTTGGAAGCTTGTGCCATCATCCACCAGATGAGTTAGTTTTCTTGTTTTGATTTGATCAAAGTTGATTTTGTGTACAATGATTCTTTGACAGTGTGCAAAGAGTGTATCATCACAAACGAAGTGACAGACGGAGCGGCTCGAAAACTTTGGTGACTAACCTGCTATTTAAATTTTTCAGTGTACCACATGGCAACACCACTACTACTGGATTGTACCACATGGCAACACTTTTACTGGATTGTACTAGCATTTTCACCAAATGTATTAGAATGTTTTGGTTCCATCTCTTTCACTCTATTCAAAACTGAAATGCATAAAAAATGACAAAATGATACGCACTCTTTGCACACTGTCAAAGAATCATTGTACACAAAATCAACTTTGTTCAAATCAAAACAAAAAAACTAACCCATCTGGTGGATGGTGGCACAAGCTTCCAAGAAAATTCTATTACAGTGAACCACATTATTTAAATGGATTTCTTCGCCAGTTAGTCGTCTGTCACTTCGTTTGTGGTATCATTTTGTCATTTTTTTTTATGCATTTCAGTTTTGAGTAGAGTGAAAGAGATAGAACCAAAACATTCTAGTGCATTTGGTGAAAATGCTAGTACAATCCAGTAGTAGTGTTGCTACGTGGTACAATTCAGTAGTAGTGGTGTTGCCATGTGGTACACTGAAAAATTGCAATAGCAGGTTAGTCACCAAAGTTTTCGAGCCGCTCCGTCTGTCACTTCGTTTGTGGTTTGATGGTGTGGGGTATGTCAGTTAAAAAAAACAATCCCACTACAAACTTTGGGAAATACCAACAAACTCCAAGAGCGTCTAAAAAAAACAAGAAAGGCCAACGAAATTAAGAATAGTTCTACAAACTCTAGGGAACTCCTTCGAACTTTAGTACAGGAATGTTGTTTCATGTTTTTCCTAGAATTTATCCAGAGTTCTCAGAATTTCTCCGGAGTTCCCAGAACAGATCTGGATTCTGATTACTAATTGATAGTACTTTTACGGAGTTTCCATTACATTTAAACTTATAGATAATCCCGAGCAACCTGATTCTCAATAGGACTTGTAAGACCCAAACT